GACAGCAATTTTGTATTACAATTTAATTACGAGAAAATTGATTTTCAAAATTATAAAAGCTGGCCTCATACATTTATATATAAGCATAGAAATCTGATTTATCAACCAACGTCAATTAATTCGTTGTATGTTTTTTCAATCCTTATATATATAATATCTTTGGTTGCGTTCCTTGACGAGAAGACGGAGTACTATTTAAAAATTAATAAAATTTTCTGATTAAAATAATTACAACAACAATGGTTCAAATTTGAAGAATAGAGAAGTCATTTTTCTTTTGTTAAATAAATATTTTGTTAAATAAATTATATTTTGATAGCATTTTTTTTACAAATTTGAAAGTATTTCTCATATTGAATTATATATAAGAATGGCTTTATAGTGTTGACCTTCTTCTCAAGGTCAGAAAACTTGGAAGCAAACTTTTTTAGCACCAAATTGTCATTGGGTTTTTCAGTTTTCCAATCTATATTTAGCTTCTTCCCTGTTAAACTTTGTGCTACCGGCGGCAAATTCTTGTAAACATTTTTTACTGCTGAAATCATTCTATAATCTATGGCAGTTTTAATTGATTTTTAAATTAATAATTTAACTGAATTTTGATCCATTTTGATTTTATAAATGTCATTTTCTTAAAAGTTTTACAAATGTTACATTGTGCCAGGAGACACTAGACTCATACTAGTAGAAGAAGAAAGGCTTTTTTGTATTTTTATTTTGAATTTTTGACTTTTTATTTTTTAAACTGTCTAATAAATTAATGTTAAAAAAAACCCAAAAATTTCAATGTCGGTATGTTCGTTCGTGTACTTTAAAAAATCGACGTTTGTACTGGCATCGAAATTTTCTTGTTTTATCAACAACAAATAATTGGTTAATTAATTAGAACTAGATAACAAGCCACATAAATCTTTTTTTATTTTATTATTATTAGTTAAAACAGTAATGTGGAATACCATATTGATGTTACTTTAAATTTTAATAGAATTAATATATTTTTTCAATTATAATAAATATTGCTATTGAATCAAATAATTGTATAAATTTTTTTGGATATGCTGCCTGAAAATTTCTGATCTTTGGAATGAATTGAGCAGACGATAAGCAGTAAGTTAGTTTTTGAATATAATTCCTATCTTTTATTAAATTAAAAATGCCATTAAAGTGTATAGTAAATAATTGTAATGGGACATATAAAGACCAAAATATATTAATGCACAGGTAATAATATGATCTTAATAATATTTTTATATCATTTGCATATTTTATGATTCACTTGACCTCTCACCATGGATTAATAGATATAAATTTCAATAATTCATTTTTGACAAAATGCAATATGCATTACAGCATTCCTCAAAAATCACCTATAAAAAGTCAGTGGATCAATGCATTGAATGGCAGGTGTAGAGGTTTTGAAAGAAAAAGATCATATATATGTAGTAAACATTTTGATTCAAAATCCTTTTCAAAGTCAAATAAAAAAGTCACTCTGAAGAAAGATGCCTATCCAACAATATTTCCTGGTGTGGTATTTGAAAAGGCAAAATCCAAGACAACACAAACTGAGGTAATTAATTTAGTATTTATATATAATAAACAAAGGATTGCTGAAGCAATATTGATTAATTCAAACCAAATATTAATATACAACACAATAACATTGGCATTTGCCGGCTTACTATCAGATATTTAACAAATAAAACGATGAGGATTTGGTCGTTTTCTTATTACATTTTATAAAATGCAAATATGTTTTTTTTGTATTATGGGTTTATTATTATTATTAGGATGCCTTTGTTAAAATGGCTTTTTGTCATAAGAAATACAGAATATAAAGAGTTTCTTTACTTTATTGGGCATATATATATATATATATATATATATATATATATATATATATATATATATGTTGGTAATAGACCATAATTTTTACAATATTCTATAAATTCTACCGAATGTTTGGCGTTAATATGTTTGTGGTTCGTTTTTTCGATTTTCGATTTCGAGTTCAACTTTACAACACCAAAGTTAATTTTTACAACGTCAAAGTTCATCTTGACAAAGTCAATATTTCCCTATATATACAGCAAGGAGCACTGATGATGATCAT